GTTTAATGGGGAGGGAAGCTCTACTTAGAAGATGAAGACATTTAAATTACAAGGAAAATGAAATAGAATTGTTTGGATGTGGAAGGGAATTTTTTTCCATGTAAGAAATATGTCGTGTGTGTGTGTGTGTGTGTGTGTGTGTGTGTGTGTGTGTGTGTGTAAGCAATTTTAAGACAAAACTTAAACAGCAATATACATGATACGTCAGGATTGGAGAAGAGCAGAATTAAGGCCCTTTTATTGTACAACAACAAGTTTCCCTAGTTACTTACAGGATAAAGTTAATTGGCCGTCTTATTAAAAACAACATCAAATCTGTCATATAGAGCCCTGAAAGAAAACAGGTAAGAGGGAAGAAAATCCAAAAGACCAATAATAGGAAATCAGTTCCCAAAAGATTGTGGATCATTGCTTTTGAATGTGCAGAGTAGCTTGATGGATGGGAGAAGGTGTGGTGCCAAGCAGATCCCTGAGTGAAAGTGTCTAAGAGTGTAGACTCTGGAGCTGAGGTGCCAGGTCAAATCACAGTTCACCATTCCCCACCTGTGTGAAAGTAGACAGGTTCCTGTACCTCTCTGTGCTGCCTTTCCCCCATTGCAACAGCGAGCTAATGATAGTGTTTGTCTCATCAGGTTGTTATGAGAATTAAATATATCAGGAGAGGCTTAGCCCTTCAAGCAGTGCATAGTACATAAGAAGCACCTCAGTACATTCAATTAGCCATTTCTCTCTTCACCAACTCCCTCCTTGCCTTTCCAGTTGCAAATATCATGCCTAATATGCACTGTGGGCAGCCAACCAAATAAACATAAGAGAGAGGACTTTTCCTTTCCTTGGGCCCTGAGATCATGTATACATTGGACTTCTAGGTAGGAGGAGGCCTTCCTGTGACATCTGGTCACCCATCAGTCTGTGAGTTTCCACTCCCCACACTTGTCCTTATTCCAAGATACTTTAAAAATCAGTTCCACATTTAAAGCATGTCAGGCTAGATTTTAGTTTTAGTCTCTCTCACACATTTGGAATTAGAGCCTCCAGAGGCTATTATGCATAATCTATGCAAATGATATTCAAAGAAGCGGTAGCCCCAGATTGTAGGGAGAGGAGTGAGCAGACCAACACAAAGGGACTTGAATGAAAATTTGCATCTGTTAGGGGAGCCCCAGGTTGAAGGCCTTGCACAGTTATTGTGACATTGTGTGCCCTTCCATTAAGTTATTAACCTTTTATGCCAAGGAGGAGAGGTAAAGTCACATCTTATTTTCTTAGTGAAGGTAACAGTGGAGGTTGAAGGAGGTGTTTGGGCAGTGCAACATTGTAGCAATTTTTATGACACAAATGAAAGTTGCTTTGAAATAATGGCTGTGGTCCAGGCTGTGTCCCCAACCTGATGTGTGTTCTTGGACAAGTCACTTTGCTCCTTCCATTGCCTCTTCTGTGAAATGAAGAGATTTGATTAAGTTACCTCTTAGGGCCCCCTCTCATTGTGATAGCTAAATGTCATCCTTCAAATGAAAACTCTGTGCACCCAGGATGACAGTATCCATTCATTGCACCAAACAAAGTTTTGCTCTAAAGTCTAAAGGTCTGAGAGGTAATTTAACAGTCCTCACAGAGAGAAAAATAACCTTACAGGACACTGATAACTTAAAAAAAAAAAAAAAAGGCAACAAAGGCAAACATTTACTTATACTGTAAGTCTTATAGCAAGAAATGATTGTAGTCATATTACTTCCCAGCAGGGGGGATTTTAGTCCCTGGAATGTTCCCAGTGGGAAAGTCAGGAACATTTCCCTCCCCAAGTCTTTTAAAGACTAGGATGTGTTAACCCCTCTGCCTCTAGAGTGCTGCAGAAGTTCTGGAGGCCAGGGTGGCTCCTCTCCCACTCCCAGGCCTGTCACTGGGATCACTCAGGGTCTCTGAAAGCTTTGCACTGCCCTTGGTGCTGCTGCCAAAAGACTGCCATGTCCTTGGTCTCTGGTTTCTGATTGTCTCCAACACATCTGGTGTTCGACCCCAGGACTCCTCTGGGCCCTTAATTTTAATTCCAGCTGTCACTCCAGCCACCAGCTGGGCACAGACATTCCCTGACAGCCCCTCTGCCCAGGGCTTCTCTTATTCAGCCACATGGGCTGTGGGCCTCGTGCAGGAGTGAGGAAGTACAGAGGGACGAGCACCTGGGGAGCAGCCCTGGACCAGTGGAGACGGGAGCTGCTGGGTAAGTGAGTGCTCTTCTCACTCAGTTTGAGGTGCGGTCTACTCAGCCCCTCAGAGGTCCCCAGGAAATAGGAGTTGCTCACCATGATCAACTCATAACCTATGCTCAGATTGATTTTCTCTATTTAACTCATCTCAGACCCCCATGGTTGTCCCCTTGGATCACTTCCCAAAATAAGCTACTTTCACACAAGCCCTGGTCTCTCCCTTTCCTGTTTCTGAGATATCTGTAATGTAAGATAAGACACCTGTCTTAGCACAGGCTGCTGTAACAAAGTATCACAGGCTGGGGTGCTTAAACAACACAAATTTATTTTCTCACAGTTCTAGAGGCTAGAAGACCAGGATCAAGGTACTGACAGGATTGGTTTCTGATAAGACCTCTCCCTTTGACTTGAAGATGGCCACCTTCTCACTGTGTCCTCACATGGCCTTTCCTCTGTGCACAATCATGTCTGCATCACTCTGTGTGTCTTAATCTCCTCTTATGAAGACACCAGTCAGGTTGGATTAGGGACCACCCCTAATGGCCTCGTTTAACTTAATAACCCCTTTTAAAGGCCCTGTCACCAAATACAGTGACATTCTGAGGAGCTAGGGGTTAGAGCTTCAACATATGAATTTGGGGGAAACAATTCAATCTTTAACACTTATATTGAACCAAGGAACTTATGAGTAAATTTATGAGGCTCATAAGGGAATGTCTCTCAAAACATCCAAGGTCAAGACTCCCAGCCATAAGAACAGATTGTCCCTGTGGTGTTTGACTGCGAGAGAGGAGTTAGAAAAACCCTGAACCCATCAGAGCACCGTAGCACAGCAACTTCCTGTCAGCCGCTTCCTCCTCCTGCATCACTGGTGTGGCTGACCAGGAAAAGCAGGCATCTTAGACATAGTCGGTTTCATATACTGTGGCTACTGTGGGACTTTGAACATGTTAGTTAATCTACCTGAAATCTCAATTTCCTGCCCTGTCGAGTGGTTGTGAGGATTAAATCGAGCGTGAGAGACTGGGTCAGAGCAGGTGCTCTGTAAACAGTTTTTAGGATTGACTTGAACAAACAGAGCTTACAGTTGTTACATGGTTTAGGTCACCAATGAAAGTTTAGAAGAAAAAATATGTCGCTTAGGACAAACTGTTGGTCCTAGAGACTGTATATGCTACAGTCCGTTCGATCTGCAGTCCCTTGGCCTCCTTCCACCTGCTAATTTAGAAGTGCAGAGTACGGGGAGCAGGTCCACGCTCAGACTCTTCCCCACTCCACATAAGTCAGAGGTGGCCTCAGTGGTGATCCCGGGCCTCCTTTCAAAGGAATGCCAGGAGATGATCTCCCCTTCTGTTTCTGAAAGCTCACCAGGGGCCCTGTCTTCCCGTCAGCAGCTTTGCTGACTGTCCCACACATGCAGAAATCACTGCCCGGGCCCCTGCTTTGGCCATTTGTCTTGCTTGAATCTGGTGGGGGAGGGCAGCTCCCAGAGAGTTACCAGATAGTGACAGATCTCTACTATTGTCTGGGTGGCCAGCAGAGCTGAAGGAAGGGCATGAGAGTGACCAGGAGGGGTTTCATAAGTACAAGGAGGAGTTCACAGGTCAGAATCAGACCTTAGAAGTCTGTCAGGCCACACCTCAGCAGTGGAGACCAGTTCTTCTCAGCCCATGTATTCTATTGGGGTGACCAGTCTTCCAGTTTATAATCTGAACAGATCCTATGTCTCACATTTATATGTGGTGTGTTATTTGTAAAATGTGGCACATGCTATTATGATTCATAAAATCCACATACATTTAGAAGTATTTTTAAATTTATAGGTTTTTGTCCTTGTGCATTTTCTCAATGAGCCAAAAGCATACACGCTGATCATCATGCAAAACTCATGATTTTCTTTTAATGCTCAAAAGGCGTCCTCCTACTCAAAAGGCTGGGCATCACAAGTGATTTTCCACAGAGAGTTCAGCCACATGAACACCACAGGAAAAGCAGTTAACATTAATGAGAACCACAAAACCAGCTGGTGTTCACAGTGTGCATCTCTTTTAGGCTCTGTGCTAAGTGCTGTATGGGCACCAGATCTGGTCACCCTCCGGACCCTTGTCCCCCTCTGCCTGTTGCTCTTCTATGGCACTGAGATGTCGCTGCCTTGTTTTAGGATTGTTTGTGGATTTCTTTGAGCTCACCCAGAGCCAGAGACTGCCCTGTTCATTTTTTGTCCTCTAGGGTCAAGGAGAGGTCTGGAGACCCTCCCTACTTGCCTGGTGAGTGGGTCTGAAGAAAGAGAGCATTTCTGACCATTTCTGCCTTTGTCTAGTCCATAAATGGAAGATTCAGAAAGGGCATGAGAGTTGGTCAGCTCTGCTTATGTAAGCATTCCACATAGAGCTGCCAGCTTCCCTTTGATCAACCTGGCCTTGACCACCCTCTGGCTGCAGAGGGGTAGCAGACACTCAGAGGCCACAAGCCTTCTTCCTACACCCAGCCCAGCCTGTTCTCAGAAGCTGCTTTTGGGTGGAGGGCTGATGGCATTTCACAGGCACTCAGCAAAGGATGGTCCTGACCAGCTTAGCTGCCTCTCCCCAACAGTGCTGGGTAGCACCTACTTAATAGACCTGCCCAACTTCACATGATCTTGTATCTGATGAGGGTCAGGATGGCAGTGTGGACCCCCGGAATGCTCGCAACGTTTCCTTTGAGTTCCCAGAGCTTTACAGGTTCATGAGTAAGGAAGGTCCAGACTCTGAGGTATTCCCCAGGCATTTCACCTCTTCTCTCTGTCTTCTTCTCAAGGCTTCCTCCTGATCTTGGCACTGACCGAAGCACTGGTATTTGCCACCCAGGAACCATCTCCCAGAGAATCTCTTCAGGTCCTCCCCTCAGGCACCACCCCAGGCACCATGGTGACAGAATCCCTCAGCTCTACCAGACACTCATCCATGGCAACTGCACCCACTTCTGTGGTGACACTGACCCCCTATCCTGATGGACCCTCCTCACAGGCTGCAGCTCCCATGGCAATGACAGCACCCCATCCAGATGGACACCCTCCTACAAACACCATCTCCACCATTATGGCGACAGCAACCACCCCACATTCTGAAGGCCCACTGCCCACAGGGCCCCTTCCTACTGCCATGGCAACCACATCCTCCCCCTCAGAGGGCCGCCCCCAGGGAGAAGCTGCACCCACCATCCTGCTGACAAAGCCAACAGGAGCCAGCAGCCGTCCCACCACAGCACCCACCCGGGCTACCACGCGCAGGCCTCCCAGGCCCCCAGGCTCTTCCCGAAAGGGGGCCGGCAGTTCATCACGCTCTGTCCTGCCTGCACCCAGTGGCCACTCTGGGAGGAAGGAAGGCCAGCGGGGACGAAATCAGAGCTCCACACATCTGGGGCAGAAGAGGCCCCTAGGGAAGATCTTTCAGATCTACAAAGGCAACTTTACAGGGTCTGTAGAAACTGACCACTCCACCCTCACCCCCAGGAGCCCACTCTGGGGTTCTTCTTCCTCACCACAGCCCCAGACAGTGACCACAACCATGGCGCCCAGCAGGACCTCGTGGGCACCACCCACCAACCCCCTTGTGCCTGCAGAGGACAAGCCAGGCCTTAGCAGAGCAGACCAGGGGGGTGGTTCCACTTTCACCAGCCAAGGAGGGGAGCCGGACACCACAGTAGCCTCAGGTGCCCCTGCCAGCCCACAACCTGCCCCAGTGCCTTCTCAGCGCCCCCGCGGTGACCCACAGGATGGCCCCAGCCACAGTGACTCCTGGCTTACTGTCACCCCTGGCACCGACAGACCTCCATCTACCAGCTCTGGGGTCTTCACAGCCACCGCGGGGCCCACCCAGGCTGCCTTCAATGCCAGTGTCTCAGCCCCTTCCAAGGGGATTCCTCAGGGAACATCCTCAACCTCGCAGGCCCCAGCCCACCCCACCAGGGGCTCAGAAAGCACTGTTTTCCAAGCCAAGGAGGAGGCTACAGCCACCCCCACCATGACCAACAGGGTGCCCAGTCCTCTCTCCACAGTGGTGTCCACGGCCACAGGAAACTTCCTCAACCGCCTGGTTCCTGCTGGGACCTGGAAGCCTGGAACAGCAGGGAATATCTCCCATGTGGCTGAAGGGGACAAACCCCAGCACAGAGCCACCATCTGCCTGAGCAAGATGGACATCGCCTGGGTGATCCTGGCCATCAGTGTGCCCATCTCCTCCTGCTGTAAGTGCCTCACCCACTCCCTACTCCTCCCTCTCTCCCTCCTCTCCCTCTACCACATCAACTTGTCGGTCCCCAGAGTTCCTTTGCCCTAGAGCTGGACAGTCCCCGCCAAGTAGGCTGCAAAACTTCCCAGAGTTACAGGAAACCAGGTGGCAGGACAAGAATCATGGGTTATCTCTACCCCTAGTCCTCTGCTCTGCCAGGCTATGGCTCAGATGCTCACTGATCATAAAGACAAAGCTCCCAAGAGTTGGGAAGAACCTTCCAAGTAGTCCAGTCTGACCGCATTTTTTAGAAAGGAACACCAAGCTAGAGAGGTCCCATGGCTCACTCAGGAGCCCAAAGTTAAGCGAGAGACAGGCCTGGGAAGGGACTGTCTTCCCACCCAGTGCTCTTGTCATGACACCACCCTGCCACACTCACCCTGGAGGGCAGCCTGCTAATGGCTATAGTGACATGGCACCAAGACACCGTAGGTGAATGTTGGCACTTCTAAACGTACAACCTCCAAGTAGCAAAACCTTCACCTTCCTCTCCCACTTCACATCCATCTTTCTGCCTGCCTTTTCTCCCATCACTCATCTCTTCTCCTCCTACTCTCTCTCTCTTTCTCCAAAAAAGAAGAAATGAAGCTTTGATCTTGCAGGGATTTCTATCAGCCTTGGCAAAAGCAGTTCCTATAGCTAAATTGAGCCTTGAGAGTTACATGTAAATTTAGCTCTTCTCTCTCTCTTCCCTGGTTTTATTTGTTCATGGGTGGTGTGAGCTAGATAACGATGTAGATCCCATCATTGCTTCCACTGGTACTGGTGGAGAAGGGCTCTCCCCAGGCCATCAGCACCTCCTTGCTGCTCCCTGTCATTACTTTAATGAGAATTCAGGAGACCTTCTCCCTGATGTCTCCATACAGAACCTAACATAATCACTCAGAACCTTAGGGCTTCCTTTTATGTCTTTGCCATGTATTTGATCCTAGATTCTTAGAGTTTCTCTGATAACCTCACAGGAATCCTCACTGATCTTAGCTTCAGCTCACCCATAACAGTTATCATCTGGCCTCCTTCTGAACCCTTCTAGGGGTGAGAAACCCCCTGTGCTCCTCATTCATTGGACATCCCATTCTCCTATGACCCCCTCAGGTTGTTACCCAACTCTCTTGGGAGCCTGACATTTGCCTCTTTGTAATTTCCACTCTGTGGTCCTAAGCCATGTCCTCTGAAACCACACAAAACCAGTCCATCTACCAATCCCTAAAACATTTGAAATGGCACTCAAGGGCAGCCTTTCTTTTCCCAAGTTGCTCATTACTATTCATTCAAGTCTCTTTGTAGGGCCAAATTGCCCTGGCACTTCCCCCTTGTCTGCCACTCTGGATGGCCACCAGTTTATCCCTGCTCTCCTAGAAGGAAGCACAGCATTTCACATGCCCAGCCATGGCAGAGGAGAGCAGATGGTCGCTCGTTTGTTCTGGACATTTCGGTCACATTCAGGAAGCCAACACTGGCATCGGCTCTGTTGGTGGTACCTTCACATCACACCATGGGCTCATCCTGATCTCAAGAGGAATGAAACCCCAGAAACTTTCCACAGAGGAGGCTTTTAAGTCAGCTCTCTTAGCCTTTCCTCAACCCATGGGTCATTTGAACATTAGTACAGGGGGTGTGTGCCTTTAACATGAACATAATTTCTGCTTGGCATTGTACCAATAAGATCTTTTAAAATCTAGATTCTGGATTCTTTCCAGAAGCCACCTCTCCCAGCTTTTTGTTTCCTTCTAGTTGATAAGCAAAGCAAACTTTCCATGTCAAAAGTGGGTGGCCTATTTCTGCTCAAGGACCCAATTCAGGAAAAGTGAAAATGTTTGCAGATTGCATATTTCATTCTTTCATTAAGTGGCTTTATTGTCTTTCATGGAAATACAAATGAATTCTTAAAACTGATTGCCCACTTCTGAAACAGAAGAATGATAATGAGAAAATGTAGCACTGTTAGCCAATAAATTATTAATAATGGTCATATTTGAGAAGTAACCACATTAGAAACAGCTTTCTAATTTTCTATTCTCTACATGTCTCTAGAGGCTTTAGTTTACAAAGTGAGTTCCCATTATTTTTAATAATTCCATCCTTGGGGCACCTGGGTGGCTCAGTTGATTAAGTGTCCAGCTTTAGCTCAGGTCATGCTCTCATGGTTTATAGGTTCAAGCCCCACATTGGGCTCTCTGCTGTCAGTGCAGAGCCCTCTTCACATCCTCTGTCTTCCTCCCTCTCTGCCCTTCCTGTGCACTCTCTCTCTCTCTCTCTCTCTGTCTCAAAAATAAATGGCCATTTAAAAAAAATCATTCCATCCTTAAAACAGACTAGCCAGAGGGATTAAAACAAAAACAAAAACATAAACATGCTATGCAAGGAACACACTTTACAGGGAGGGAATAAGTCACCAGGTGAAGTGACTTTTCCAGGGTCCTAGCTCACATAAGTCAGCCCAAATCCGGTGGTAGAATCTGTTTGATTCAACACAATATTTCCCAAGTGCCCGTTGTGTGCCAAGCACTATGCCAAGCATTAGGGAATTGATATATATGATGTGGCTCCCTTCCCCAGCTCCCAGAGCCCTCTCCCCACCTGGGCCTTTTCTTTGCCTGGTTTGGACAGCACAGAGTAGATCCAGCCTGCAACCCACCTGTGTTTTATAGTTCTGAAAAGACTTCTACAGCCCTTTTTACATGTGTGAGTTTGAAATTAGATCAGATCTTACTGCAAAGCCAGAAAACCCATGGGCTGCCTAAACCATGCATAATAATGTCAACTAAGGTAGTAGCAAATACATAGCCTGGAACTGCACCCAGAGAATGCTTCGGCAGTCTGAAAAGAGCCTTCAGGTGCTGGGACCGAACATACCACTTCGTAAAGGAAGATATGAGTCTTTGTTCAAAGTGGACTCTTGCAGCCTCTTGGAACCAGACTCCACTTCTTTAGCATCTGTCTTGCATTTCCATCGTCCACATGGGAGGGTCCCCTAACCTCTCATTCCTAAGGTCCCTGCCTTAGCCCTGGCTGCCTCCACATAGGGCTCCCTGCCCTTAGTCGTGGCCCCAACTCCTATGGGTCCTCTGGGGCCCTGTGAAGGCCCTGATGCAAGGGACATCAAGATAGAATATTTGTCCAGCTGCAGAATACCATGCTCTTTCAGAGCACAGATGAACAAATATCCCAGCTGTTTTCATAGCTTAATCCCACTCCAGTCATTAGACAAGCAGACCTCTTCCAGTGGCTGCATTTATCCTAAAGTTCACTCTGCTGCCCTCAAAGATGGGTCTTTGCCAGTTTGCCAGATATTTCAGGCAGTCTAGGTTGATAACTAAGTGCGTGCCTAGATTTCCTCACACCTGGCTTTTCAGACCAGCCCTGGTCTTGTTCCTGCTTTTCTCCATCCACCAGAAGCCAGACTTCAGGTGGCCAGGGTTGCTAGGCAGGTGGTTGAATCCTCTACTTCTGTTGGAAGCAGGGGGTGATCATAGCAAATCTCAGGCCTGTGCAAGAAGGGATGTCATCAATTACACCAGCCCTTCCAAATTGAAAGCTCCACCCAATGGCTGGAAGGCTAGATATGCCACAGCTGAGAAATGCTTTGTCTCCTGAGACATGCCAGAGACAGCCACACAGGGTTTCAGATGTGCTGAGAACCAAAACTGATTGGATCCAGGCCACAATTGACTGGGGCAGGGGAGCCATGTGGCTCTTGAGTTGGTCTCTGCTGCCACCATCAGGAATCAAAGAGCCCACTACCTCCTGCCAGAACCCTCTGGGCCTGGCACTGAATTGATCCTCCCGCACTGCCATCAGTGCTCTGGGTTTTCATCAGGAGGTCAGTTTTGTGACTCTGCCAGGCTCCCTGGCGTCTCTTGCACATGACGCATCTGTTCTCGAGAATGTCTTCACTCCGCTTCCCTGAAAAAGATGAAAGCCTTTCTGGAGGGTGAGAACAGAAAACAGGCCAGCAGCAGATGTTTTTCATACCAATCTAAGTTGAGCCTGGCTGGAACCGGGAAGCAACTCTCTCTGACCCCGGATATGTGAGGGTCCATGTGCACCTCACCCCAGAGCATTCTGGCTTCTTGCAGACATGCAGTTAATGCCACTGGAGTATCAGTGCAGCGTTCAGCAAGATAATATATCCTGTGGTCATGCAGTTCTTGGCTATGTTCATTGTTCTGTGAATGTTAGTCCAATCTGAATGTGTGTATATGTGTGTATTTAGTTATGTATGTGTATGTGTGTGTGTATAAAATATATGTGTGTGTGTGTGTGTGTATATATACACACACACACACATACATATATATATGTGTGTGTGTTTTTTATAGGCCCAAAATAACTTTGTAGTTACTACATAAGAAGACACGGGTCAGAGTTACTCTTTCCATGAGAAGAATAGAATAAATTGGAATGAGAGGGAAGTGTGTCCAGGAGGTTTGTCTCCTTGGGGCTTATGAGCTAACTGAAGCCAGGGTGGTGGGGAGCAGCCTCAGGGCCAGGGGATGTCACTTCAGCTGGACCAGAGTGTCATACCTATGTTCTCACAGCTCATCTCTGCTTCCCAGTCAGCACCTCCTGCTGGGGGCCTTCTAGTCCCACACACCAGTATGGGGAGCCAGACAGCCCCTAAACCTGCTTTCCTGAGGCCCATAGCCTCGTTTTGAGCCTGGCCTCCTTCCCAAACTCCCAAAGGTGGGAGACAATGGTCCACAGTCTGGCCCCTCAGGCCGGCACCACTGGACCAATCCTTCCCTCCAGGGTGTCAGGCTTCTCCTCTATAAGATGAAGTGCCCAAACTGAAATATGTCACACCTCCCTGTCCTCTAACTTTCTAACACTTTTTTAAAACTGTTCGTTTATTTATTTTATGTGAGAGATTGAGAGAGAGCGAGCAGAGGAGGGGTAAAGAGAGAGCGGGAGAGAGAGAATTCCAAGCAGGCTCCATGCTGCCAGCCCGGAGCCCAACGTGGAGCTCGATCCCAAGAACAAATAGCAAAATCATGGGTTGAGCTGAAATCAAGAGTCAGACACTCAACCAACTGAGCCACCCAGGTGCCCCTGTTCTGCTGCATAAATCATTGGAGAAGAAGGCTGGTGTGACAGAAAAGCTTGGCTCATGGACTCAAACATACCTGGATGTCATTCCAGCTCTCCTGCCGGCCACCTGTGGGGCTTGGACAAGTTATTTAACTGTCAGTCCAATGTTTCCTCACCTATAAAAATAGGACTAACATCCTCTGTGTTAGTTCAGGACCTTCAAGAGGCAGATGCCAGCATGGGCTTGTGTTTTCCCAGAGTTGTGTCCTTTACCAAGTGCTTCCACATGCCTCAGATGTGTTCCCAGCCATGTTCAGGGTGATCTCACACAACAAGCATCACTCTGAGGGTCACAGAGACCCAGGTGAGGTTCCATTAATTACCTGAGTGATCAAGATCAATTTTGTTAACTTCCATGAGCTTCAGTTGCCACTTGTGCAAAGGGGAAGAGCAACAGTACCTTTCTCAGAGAGCTATTTTGAGGGTTAAATCAGACTATAAAGTGCCTAGGTCAGCCCTGGGCATGTATTAGAGACTCCATAAATCTGAACTGTACTTTTCTTTCTTAGATGAAAGGTCAGGCCAGCAAAACAATGAAAGTTCTAAACCACAGCCTTGGCCTTGAGCCACTCAACAGTCATGCAGCCCGGTATTTCTTTCTACATCTCTCTTGTGGAGGGTACTGGAAGAACAAGAAGAAAACTGTCATTAATTAAGCACCCACTGTGCATCCGGCAGTTTGCTCAGCATTTTGCATTCATGATCTCTAGCTCTCATTACAGCCCTGTGAGTCCATAGTAGTCAGTATGAGGAAGTGACTTACCTAGTGTAACGTGCAGCAGTCAGACTTCAACCCAGGTCTTGTGGACTCCAAGACCACGCTCTTTCTATGTCAGGCCAGCTTCTATTATATAAATGAAATGGCACTTGAGAGGCACTGGGAACTCCTGGAGAGAAACAGTCAGGCCTAGAGGACTAACAACATTTGAGGAGACAAAGCTAGGAACTGAGCCCCCTGTTCCAATCCCCAGGCCATCCTGCAAGCAGGCCAGCCCTTCCCATCGAGACAGGGTCCTGGTCCCACATTCTAAACAGGCCCTGGCTCTGGAGCCAGGGGCAGTGTGGGCTTGAGGGAGCACTGGACTAGGAGTCAGAGGACCTGGACTCTGCACCCTGTGCCAGCCCAGGTTAGCAGCATGAGTTCACTGCAGCCTAACCCTCTCTTTCTGGCTTCTATTTCACCAGTTCGAATCCCCCCCTCAGGCCACTTAACCATCCCAGTTCCAGGAGCAGGGTAGAAAGGTAGTGACAATGAATAATAAAGATGCCAGAAAAAGGGACACAGGACCTAGGGTCTTGCCCCAGCCCTGCCACTCGCAGACCTGTGACCTGTGGCAAGTCAGCTGGATGCTTTGGACCACAGTCTTCTCATCTGTAAAATAAGGAGAGTCCCTAAATTAGCAGACTTTCAGGCTGAGTTCTGCAGCTCCCCTTCCTCACCCCCATTCATCCTCCAACCACCCCGTCTTTGGAAGGAAGGGAAAGAAGAAAGGAGAACCTGAATTTGGAAATTTTTCAAAATTTAAAAAAGTCTATACCAGCCAATCTAAAATTCCTTTTAGCTCAAACATTCAGAAATCTCCTTTATATCTTTAAAACTCTTTTAAGGGGACATGGAAGAATAATGAGCAAATTAGAGAAGTCTTTCTCATCAAAGTAGATTGGACCAATAGAAACTTGCCCAACCTCAGTCTTGTCTGGAGGCCTTTTCAGGTTGAGATAAGAGAGTTACAGAATTCCTACATCATCCTGCAGGGGCCTACAAGGTGGGCCCTGTGGTCTTAGCCTGTGTGGGTGCCAGCTTTTTCAGGTACCCCACACCCTGGCAAGTACAGGCGCCCTGATGCTGGCTAACCCTCAGGCTGCTGCGAACAGAGCTGACACTCTGCTGCCCCCTGGTGGTCGTTGCTATGTTGGTGCCGGCCTCTGGAATGCTCAGCCTGGGGTCCCCTCTCTGGAGCACACATGGTTGGCACCTCCAGGATGTTAAGTGCAGCCCTGCCCACCCCTGGCCTGGAGTTTCAGCCACTGCACAGGCTGTGGTGATGATGAGTCTGGGCAAGGGATGCCCAGTCTTCATTTACTGGCTTCTCCCCAAGAGGGTTACTGTCACCCTTGTCAAAACATCACCCGTTGCACTGTGTGAGCCTGGACAGGCCACCTTACCTCCCCAACTTCAAAAGCCTTCCCCGTTGGCATGCCGAAAGCCCTCTGTTCACACCTGATTCATAAGCAAAATCCAAACATACTCCTTCCTCCCTGGGGCCCTGCAAATCTCAAAGATTGGACAGACGGGGTCACACATCAAGCTGCAGAGAGCCCCAATCAGGCCCATCTGTGCAGTGTGGACTTCTGCGCATCAGTCTTTGTGAGGCAGAATCATGAATGGTTAAGAGCACAGACTATGGAGTCCAGATGTCTGGGTTTGCTCTTGGGCAAGTTGCTTCACTTTTCTGAGTCTCGGTTTTCCTGCCTGCAAAATGGGAACCCTAAAAGTACCTCATGGAGTGAAGTGGAAGATTAATGGAAGATTAAATTAATTAATATTTCTAAAGTGCTAGGAAACCTTCCTGGCACATAAACACTATATAACTGTTAGAAGCTTCTTTTTTTTTTTTTTTTTTTTTTTTTTTTTTAAGAGGAGGAGGAGGAGGTTGGTGATAGTGGAGGTGATGGTTATGGTGCCAGAGCAGCTGTTTTATCAGGGTCCAAGACCTCTGCTCAGTAATACTATTCTAAGTCTCTACCATCAAGCGCTCCTGTGGTATTCAAGGGCTCATTTTGTAAAGTTCACCAAGTCCTGTTCCTCTTTCTGCCATACTCCTACTCTGGCTGAGAATTCTCCTCACCAGTCCAGCAGTACAACTGAGAGCACACAGCCATTCTCTAAGCCTTTCCACCAAATGAGCAAGGCCTTTTCTTGGAGCAAACTCGAGGAGTGGCAGTGCAGCACCCACAGATATCTGAAATTATATCCAGGCCTCTTGCCTGTGAGCCCTTATGGATGCAGCCACTGGACATGACCCTGGCTTCATCTCCTACCTCACTCCCCTACACTCCAGCCAGGCTACTCTTTTCACTCACATCAAGTGTGTCCCCACCTCGGTCCCTTTGCACATGATGTTCTCTCTACCTGGGGCATACTGCCCCATTCTGCTCTTGTCTAGCTCCTTCTCCATATTCTGTTCTCAGCTTTAAGGTCACCTCAGGAAAGCTTACATGATGACCCTAAAACATTCTCTCCCCAAACCCTGTCCATTGTCTTTCTCACTTCACCCTGTTTTATTTTCTTTCTTCAGTTACTGCTATCTGAATTTATCTTATTTATTCATTTTGTTTATTATAGATCGTGTGACCCTGCCCCTCATCCCGAGTATCCCTCCTTACACACACTAAGAGGGATGTTTATGATGCAGGGCGGCCTTGTGGTTTTTTTTTTTTTTTCATTCCCTCTCTCCCAGAACCTGGCCCACAGTAGGCATTCAGCGTATGTAGATAACTGTTGAACGAACAAGCAAACAAAGTGACTGATGGAGTAAGTGGTTGCATGTATGGCCATCACAGCCCCACCTGGAGACTGGCGCCTGTCACTCAGCACTGCTGACTCCATGCTTGTTGTCTCCCTCCCCTGTCTCTAACTTGGACTCTCTCCACAGCCGTCTTGCTGACAGTGTGCTGCCTGAGGAGGAAGAAAAAGACGGCCAACCCAGAGAACAATCTGAGCTACTGGAACAATGCCATCACCATGGACTACTTCAACAAGCATGCTGTGGAGTTACCAAGGGAGATCCAGTCCCTTGAAACCTCTGAGGTAATGAGCCCCAAACCAAGGGGTGCCCCTGAAAGGTCTGGCTCCAGCACAGGGAAAAGCCCAGGCTCCAAAGTAAGCTATGGAGCCTCTGCTTGCTTCTCAGTGTCTTGCTCCTTGAAGGGTGGTCTCTGGACGAGGAGACTGCAGGCCCCACCCAGTCCTACTGGGTCAATCTGTATTTTAGCAAGAATTCCCAGGTGCCTTCTACATATGTGAAAGTTTGGGAAGCACTGTTCTTGGGACCTCTAGTTTCTGGGAACGGTTCGATAAGTATTTACTGAGGACCCAGCTTGTGGCTGGAAGTCCCTGGGGACTGTCAAGATGAGAGCTTGCTCTCAGGGGGCCCAGTTTCCAAGATGTGGTTGAGGTATGATGAGCCCCACACATCATTCCAAAGCAAACAAACTAGGGGAGATACAAGAAGAGTTGCAGAGGTATAGAAACCTAGGAGAAGAAGGCCTTCACAGTGGGGTTTCGGAAGGATAAATGGATTTTGACAGGTTTCCCAGCAAAGTAAGTAGCCTGAGTAAAGGTGAGGATGTGGACTGGACACAGCATATCATGGGGGAAAAGAATACACTGGGTCAAGAAGTGTTTGCCCAGACACCTGTCTGGCCAGTGAGAGAGCCAGGCTTTGAGGTGTTCCTTCTACCCTCATACAGGTGGGGCAGAGGACAGGACACATCAGGAAAGGTACATGGATTGGGCATGGGCTTGAATGGGCTTGAATGGAGTTCATACTTTAGTCTTGGGCAGTGGAGGGTCATTGAAAGTTTTGAGCTTTGTGTGGCCTAGTTTTAGAAAGATTGTGCCAGTGGTCTGATGAAGGCACTGTATACGTGAGTAGTGAGTGAATAGGAAGGAAAGGAAGGGTGGTTTAATGGATGGATGAATGGATGGGATGACCGGAAGAAAGACTCAAAATAAGTAGGCCAGCTGGGACCAATCAAGGTCCAGGAGAAAGATGGCAGACATCTGAGTAAAAGCAGGGAGAGCCAAGAAGAGTTCTTCTGGAGACACAGTGCCCTCTTCCCCTGCAGATCCATCCCCCACAGCAGCCAGAGTGGGCTTTTACAAACATAAATGTGATCACATCGCTCATGTACTCAGAGCCCTTCAGTAGCTTCCTGGTGCTCTCAAGTTAAAGTTCAGAGTCATCTACAGGGCCTGGGAGGTTGGCCCGGCCCTGGCCCGACTCTCCAGCCTCATGTCACTCCACTCTTCCTCTCATTTGCTAAGCTCTAGCCACACCAGATTTCATTTCTTTATGGCACCAAGTTACATTCTGTTCTAGGGCTGTGCGTGACTCTCCCCTCTGCTGGAATGTTGTCTGTCCCTCCCCAGCACCCCCTCATGTTCACCTCAATAACTTCTCCCTATCACTCAGGCCTGTCATCTGTCTCTGCTGCCTGAGGGCAGGAGCCCTGTTTGTTCTTCTCACCACTCTATCCCTAGCACCTAGAACAGTGCCCAGCACTTGCTAGGTGCTTGGTAAATGTTTATCACATGAATGAACCACAAGTTTTGTTCATTATTGATCCATCACCCAGCCCAAAGCCTAACACACAGTGGACGCTCAATAAAAAATTTTAACCGAAGGACAGAGGGACAGGCTTCATGAAAGCAGTGACCTTTAGTATGGTCAGTGCAGCAAAAGTGGTAGCTACAGTCATTGTGGTGAACATTTCATCATGCAGACAATTGTCAGATCACTATGTTGTACACCTAAAGCTAAAATAATACTGGATGTCAACTAAACTTCAATAAAAAATAAAAATTTATTTTAAAGATTTTCTGAAAACTATTATAATGAGCGAAAAATGGCTAAGTTAGCAGAGGGGCTGGCCACACTTTGAATGTGAGCTGTGAATCCCTGAACTCTAAATTTCTCATATTCCTGGGGTGCCTCGGTGACTCAGTTAAGTGTCCGATTCTTGATTTCGGCTCAAGTCATGATCTCACGGTTCATGAGATCGAGCGCCGTGTCAGGCTGTGCTGAAGGCACAGAGCCTGCTTGGGATTTTCTCTCTCCCCCCTCTCCACCCCTCCCCTGCTCGCTCGCTCGCTCTCTCTCAAAATGAATAAATAAACGTTAAAAAACGTTTAAGTAGGGGCACCTGGGTGGCTCAGTCGGTTGAGCGCCGACTTCGGCTCAGGTCACGATCTCGCGGTCCATGAGTTCGAGCCCCGCATCGGGCCCCTGTGCTGACAGCTCAGAGCCCGAAGCCTGTTTCGGATTCTGTGTCTCCCTCTCTCTGACCCTCCCCCGTTCATGCTCTGTCTCTCTCTGTCTCAAAAATAAATAAACGTTAAAAAAAAAAAAATTTTTTTTTAAAAGTTTAAGTAAATAAATTTCTCATAGTATCTTTGCAAACTGATAAATGAAAACCAAAGCCAAAGGGCCGTGCCTGTGAGCTTACTATAGAAAGGGCCCTGCCTGTGCAGCGTCCCAGTTAGTCATTCCAGCCAGGGCACCTGGGCTGCCATCAGACACAAGCCAGAGGCTCTAGTAGAGGCTGCCTCCAGCAGTCACCCTCCCAGGGTCAGGAGGTTGCAGCAGAACCAACAGCAAAAAGGTCAGTTTGGCTTCAGCACGGGCTTTATGGCTGTTTCCCTCCCAGCAGGCCTCCTGCCCTCATCCTGCTTTACTTAGCTCATTGTTAGTTTGTTCCCACTCTCTGGGCACACCCAGGCACTGTGGACCACCCCGGGAGCGACCTTGCCGTCACAGGGCATGTGCCCCACACTCCACAGCCGGGGCAGTCCTTACCGCCCGCCCTGTAGGCTGCCAGCGCCAGTGGCTGCCAAGTGCTTTGCCTAAGCAAGTTTCTCTGGTGCCCTGCTCCCCTTCTGGGTTGATGAAAGAGCAAAGCACAAATCTAGGCTATACAGGCAAAACTGTGATGCCCAAAAAGTGCCTGGAAATTTTTCCATGCTTTTTTTTTCCCCTCCTCTTCCTTCCCTTCCTCCTCTTCTTTTTTTTTTTTTTTCTTCTTTCTTGTCTGTTATTTCTTAAGTAACTTTCTTTTTTATGCTGCAAAAAGTGTCCACATGGTTCACCCATGGTGAACACTTGCTTTGTAAGAACTTTAAAGGGGGAGCCTAGGTGGCTCAGTTGGTTGAGCTGCCAGCTTCGGCTCAGGTCGTGATCTCACAGTTCATGAGTTCGAGTCCTGCATCAGGCTCACTGCTGTCAGCACAGAGCCCACTTTGTATCTTCTATCCCCCTCTCTTTCTGCCCCTCCCCTGCTCACACTCGCTGTCTCCAAAATAAACATTAAAAAAACAAAACAAAACAAAACTATAAAACGACACACCAGATCTCATCCTCCAAAATTCCCCTCCACAGCTCCACCCAAAGCCCAATGAAGAATGGGAATGGTAGTCCCCTCAGTGACATGCTGCCTTGTTTTCCTTACTTAGAGGGCTGACTCTGTGTCTGCCTCTGAGATGGGCACTCAACCAATTCCAGACATTGATGGAAATTCTCGTCTTCTGGAAAGTCATTTTACCGACAAATGGCCTTTCTTTCTTTCTCTCCTTATTATCCATAAGGCAATATGTACTCCTCAAAAATTATACATGTTTTGCTTAAAAATAAACTTGAGAGAATTAATTATGTCTTCTTCAAGTGGAGACATCTAAGCAAGTCTGGCTTAAGCCAGCTCTGCCTCAGCATATTACTGAGTCTTTGCCCTGATGTAGCCTGCAGGTTCTGAGACTTCAGTGTTTGAGAATTAGGACAAGCTGTGACTTTTTTTCCGCCCTAAATTATACCTGGGCCTGAATCTGAGTATAGACATTTAGTGGCCCACAAATGCTTGCAGCCTTTATTGGATGAGGCCAAATCTATTCAGATGATCTAATCAGTGAATTACCTCTTTGTAGGCTTTTCCATTTCTGGGGCTGTGGAGACAGACCGTATTTTTCACTTAACCACCCATTGTCACACAGAGATTCAGGTCCTTTCACCTCAGAACCATCTAGTACTACAAGAAATGAGGCTATAATTCTAAGCAGGTTTTGAGAGGTCTCAGGATGGGGAGGAGTGAGCCCTTGAAGGCCCTGCCGGGTGGGTGGTAGGAGAGGAAGGAGGTGGGCAAGCGTAGGGTGTGAAGGTGGAGGGGAGAAAGGCAGCCACATCTCCCAAAGATCTGTGAGAAAGAGGCAGGAGGGAGAGTGGGGGTTTGCCCACTAGAGCACCGAGATATGCTGAATGTCACTCATGGCGGGCCCTCTCGGACTTTTACAAGGAGAGCAATACCATCTCTGGCAGCCTGAGCTGGGAGTGATTCAGGAAGCAGGAAATCTTGTTCAGAAGCTGCTGCAAAAATATGAAAGAAGAGCAGAGAGGGCTCTGCGCCTCCACACTGGCAGTGAAGATGATGAAAGGTGTTTACCAAAGCAATCCCGTGTGGAAACAAATGTCCTCGTGTGTGTATTTCTTTATGAATGGCCACTGCCTAAACCCTCTGAGATCATCCCATGTCCTGCCTCTCTCCTCCCAGGACCAGCTCTCAGAGCCCCGCTCCCCAGCCAACGGCGACTACAGAGACACTGGGATGGTCCTTGTTAACCCCTTCTGCCAGGAAACACTATTTGTGGGAAATGATCAAGTGTCGGAGATCTAACAGCAGCAACCCTTGCTTTGCCGTTCCCTACCATTCGTCTCTAAATTATAAATATACAAATATATATTATAAATATAACCTTTGTGTAACCCTGACTTAATGAGAAACATTTTCAGCTTTTTCTCCCCCTAAGAATTGTCAACATCTTTTTTACAAGTGTGGTTTAAAAAAAAAAAAAACTTTACAGAACGATCCGTGGCTTTATAAAATAAAGGTATTTCTAAGCAAAGCAGTTGCACTGATTGCTTCTCTTAATAACTGTCCTTGAGCACTTGGGGTTCCAGCAGCCCCAGACAGGTGAGGGAAGAGACAGACCTGTAGAGGTGCGATTTTAAATTGGTCAAGAGTACGGCCCTTTGCGTGCTCCTTAAAGTTCTGGTTCCTCTTGATTCAGTGGGATTCCCTTCCCTCCCCCTCTGTGTACACACCAGTGAAGGCAAGTGGGCCACCGGGGGAGAAGCAGTAGACTCGTGCACAGAGCAGGAAGGGGGAGCACCTCGCCACCCCAGCAGATAAACATCTTGCACCTGCACAGTGGCACCATTGGCTGTCGAGCGTAATTCCAACTGAGTTAAGGACCGCTGGCAGGAACATGCAGCCCTCAGGAGCCTGTGGAGGACATCGTGGGCGTCCCGTCAAGGCCACATCCCCCTAACATCCCACGACAGGGAGTTTCCACTATGCTAACAACAGGACTGCCTTGCCCTGGTGGAAAATAAGCCCCCCCCTTAAGCACATTCCTGCATCGTCTCCAACACCCACATCTGCTTTAAAACTCGTGCCTTTCTCTAGAGATGGTTTAGATGTGGATCCTAGCCCCGGAGCTTTGGTATGCTTGCTCTCCTTCAAGGATCAAATATTTATTGGGGTTCAGCGTTGTTTTCTCAAAAGGCATCTCACTGTGACCCTGAGGAACATGTTAAGAGGCCTTGAATTATGGGGCTGTAATTTTCTAAGCCCTCCTGTGATCTTAAACAAGATTGCTAAAGTGGATCACTTGGGAGAAGACATCCTGATATCCCTCCCTGGCATTGCAGACCTGCCTGTGGGTCAGCAGACAGGCTTGCCATCCAGCTGGCATTCTCCAGTCTCCCCTCCACTGCTCCCCTCGCCTGTCTACGCTCAGGAGGGCTCAGACCCACAGAGACGCAACAGAGGCTTCCACAGATGGCTGCTTCTCACTTTTTCCCTAATAGAGAGTGGTTGGGAGAGAAGATAACTGCTTTGACTCTTTCTCTAAAAGAAAATTAGTTTGATAGTATATTTTCAATATAGATGTTCTTATAGTCAGATTGGGAATTGAACTTGAATGTTGATTCGTATGTTCGTGTTGTTGCTGTGGTCTTTTTATCATACCTTTTTCCCTTCTTCCTACATTTCTTTTTTTTTTTTTTTAAAGATGGCCTTCAAAAATGTGTGTTCTCAATGTTGTATGAACCTACTTAACATGAGTTTGGTGGATGTGTCTCTTTAAAGACTCTTCAACCCACAAGGAAGCAGGTTAAATGTTGCTCTGAGATTCATTTCCCAGTGTGCTGCTGTATGACCTTTTAACCTTCTATTTCTGTTAACTATTGCATTTAATATAGCAATGTGTGTGCGTATATATAGAAAGAAATCTGTTTGTAAAGTAAAATTATATATAATATATGTAATCAAAGATACATATGTTATATATACATATGTGGATGTATGACTTATTTTTCCTTATCCACAGAATTCAACTACCATGTATATATAAATAAACTTATTTTACTAGCCAGAGGATTAAGTTGCTAATACATTTTGCATTCTTTTCATTTTAAAATAACTTTTAAGTCTTCCTTAAGTCCCGACACTGCCTAATGTCCATCTGTATTTTTTAATCTATTTTAACAATAAGTTGGGTTTTATGAGTAATGAGCTATTGGCAGTTTGTCATTTGGTAATACCAATCCTTTAGAACATGTTTGTGACTTCTCCAAAAGTCCTCTTTCTTTAGGTCTTTGGAAACTCTGGTGTCAATTAAGGTACATCCCTTCTTCCCCTCTCCCTCCACAGGGCTGGGGGTTTTACTGTACGTATCAGAGAAAGGTCAGAGAAAGCTGGGGTTAACCTGTCCACTGAGAGTTACCATTCTGTAGGAAATAACAGTGCCTAAACATGACACCTGTGCAAACAGCTTCATCAGTAGTTTGAACCCTTCATTTAGCCTTGGATGATACACCCTGAAATTCCTGCAGCCCCTCAAGACCCAGGCAGCACCCCCTGTGCTAGGAGGATGTTATTATAAGAGTCTGGCGGGTGCGGTGGGGCCTATAGGGTGCCTCAGAGGTGGTGTTTGCACCAAGAATGCCACATCTAAATGAGGACACTGCCACCTTTTACTTGATCAAGTTGGTTCCTTAATCTGTTAATCATATACCAACATTGATATTTATACAGTATATTCTGTGTCAACTCAGACAAAGTAGAAAGGGGAAAAAAAGTTATGGTGTCCTAATCAGCAAGGAAGAGCACATAGAATATCCCAGTAGGTAACTGTAGTTTTGAACTCTACTTGTGTGACTTTGGATAGTACCCCGTTCTCTAGGTGATGGGAGACAGAGGGCGTCCTACATAAGTCACTGGACTAGGGGTCAGATGAGATTTTCTTGTCCTAGCTCTGTTATTTTCTGGATAGGGGACCTTGGAAAAGTCATTGCAGCTTTCAGGATCTTCATCACATAAGGAGTTAATAACTGATCATTTGACATGTGATGATACTTCTGGAATTGTACAGTGCACAGCCCAAATAGCAATACATGTCAACCCTGTACCTACCTTCCAAGGTTAAATTGAGAATTCAGTGAAACAAAGTATGGAAATTATGTACAGCACTAGGATAGATTCAGTACTTACTAGAAATTGGCTCCCTTCCCCTTCTCTCACTTGAGGTATGTCCCCGTGGTGCAGGATTTGGGATAAATATCCAGCTCTGGGTTTTGGCTACTTGGTTTCTCTACTGTAAAACTTACGTGCAGTGGGGTTTATTTAGGTCCATTTTGTTATCTCAGGATAACAAAGAGGATCTTTTCTAGATATGGGAAAGTAATTGAGGTGTGACCATAACAACAGGCCTTACTGGATGCTGACAGCAGGAATTAAAACCCAGGGGGTGTCATCAAAACCTAACTTGAAGCACCCACCCTTAAAGAGCTTACTGGAAAACCTTCTCTTTGTTTTGATTTACTAGTTTTCTGGCAAATGGAGAAACAGAGGTGTAGGGAACAGCTACAGCATAAAAGGTGCCCAACATGTGTGGGACCTGAATTCCCAGAATCCCTTGCACTACTGCATTAGGGAGAGCTCAGGCCAGTGCATGGGAAGCAAGATCCAGAAAGGTGAAGCAACATGGCCATGGTCGAGCAGCTGATAAACAGCAGTGTTGGGGGAAGAAAAATTCCACAGAAGGACCTGAAGCTGCTACCAAGACTGAAGGAGGGGAAGGGAGGCAACAGGTTTGGTTTGTTTCTCTTCAGTTCATGGGGCTGCCTCCCACTGTGGCTGGTTCACATCCATTTCCATCCTCTATTACCTGTGTGGATGTGCATGCACATTCACACATTTACATACGCAACACATGTAAGGATGTAGAAAGCTCTGAAATCAGCCCTGGAACACCTGGATTCAGTCCTGGGTCACTACACTTGTGATCTGAGGCCTTTGGGTCTCAGTTTACTCATCTGTGAAATGGGCTGCTTGATGCCTGCCTTGCTCTCTCTTAGGTAGTAAAGTACACAAATCCAGATGAGCCACCCCCACAGTCCGCACTGATCCAGCACCCCCATCACCAGCAGAAAAATCTGGGAGGTCAGGCACATGACCTTGCAGAGAATGCATGAGTGCCTTTCTGCACGCAGCCCTGGGCAGGGCCTGTTTCCCTTTCAGCTCGGTGAATGGTGGAAGCTCATGGAAAACAGCAGACAAAGCAGCCCTGGGGATAGGGGAGCTTCCAGAGAGGCCCACAACTGAGCCACAGGGACACTGGGGCTGGAAACCAAAAGTCACTGGGCTCTGTAAGCCCACTAGGCACAGCAGAGGCAGAAGGGATGACGAGCAGCAGGCGAGTGGTGGTGGAAATGCCCACCGGTACCAGCTCCAGCTTGCCCCTCCAGAGGCACAGGGCGTCCTTTGGGGGAACATGGTCATCATCCTCCCTGGATAGCCCTCCAGCCTCCAGGACCAATGCCATGGGTGGTCTCGTCCGAGGACCCAGAGTCTATGTAGGGATGGTGCCCAGTGGGTACACAGGTGGCCTGGGCACCCGCGTGACACGCCGGGCCCTGGGCATCAGCAGTGTTTTCCTGCAGGGCCTGCGGAGCTCAGGTCTGGCCACAGCACCAGCTCCAGGCCTGGAGAGGAACCTCGGTGCCGTTGAGGACCTGGGGGGTTGCCTGGTGGAATACATGGCCAAGGTTCATGCCCTCGAGAACGTCAGCCAGGAGCTGGAGGCACAACTGCGCATGCACCTGGAGAGCAAGGCCACACGCTCTGAAAGTTGGGGTGCCCTCAGGGCTTCCTGGGCCAGCAGCTGCCAACAGGTGAGTACGTGGGCTATGCCCAAGGGCTTTGTGTAGGGCCAAGAGAGGATGCTCACAGCTGCCTGGGGGGTCATCATCTGAGAGCAAGGATGCTGAGGCAGGGGCAGGGGAGTGAATGGTCTCAGGCCAAAGAAACTGACCATAGCCTCTTACTCTTTCATGCTCGGAAATACTGATGACAATGATAACAATGACAGTCGCCATTTACTGAGGTAGAATAAGGGCCAGGTCCATAGGAGTCCCTGTACATGCACTGTCTCCTGTGTTCAAAGCAGTGCTAGGCAGGGACTTATTCACTGACTGCATTTTTCAGATGAGAAAACTGAGGCACAAAGAAATTAAGTAATTTGTCCAGATCATGCAGCCCATAGGGAAGCTGAGCTTTGAGCCCAAATTGTTCCAGTTCCAAAGCTTGCATTCATCCCATTAGCCTGGGCTGACTCTGTACCCTTTGTATTAAGCAAGAGTTTTTACAGACATCATCAAATGGAACACCATCGAATGGATATGGCATTAAAAACAATGGATAAATGGGGGTGTGTTCCTGTATTCATCGACTACAGCACTGTCAAATAGAAATAGGAGCCACAGGGTAATTAAAAAGTTTCCATTACCCACAGTAAAAAAAAAAAAGTAAAAAAGAAACAGGTAAAGTTAATATTAGTGTATCTTATTTAACTCAGTATATTTTAAATGTTATTTCAACATGTAGTCAATATTTAAAATATTAATGAAATAATTTACACTGAAATAGAACTTTCTGCCGTGATTGAAATGTCCTATACCCACACTGTCCAGTCTGGTAGCCACTAGCCACATATGGCTATTGAGCACGTGAAATGTGGCTAATAAGATAAGGAATTGAATTTTTATTTTTATGTTTATTTTATTTTATTTTATTTTATTTTATTTAAATGTAAATATGGGCTCCTGGGTGGCTCAGTCAGTTGAGCATCTGACTCTTGACTTCAACTCAGGTTGTGATCCCAGGGTTATGAGATCAAGCCCCAGGTCAGGCTCAGTGCTGAGTGTGGAGCCTGCTTAAGATTCTCTCTCTCTCTCTCTCTCTCTCTCTCTCTCTCTCTCTCTCCCTCTGCCCTGTGTGTGCTCTTTCTTTCTATATAAATTAATAATAATAATAATAATAATAGATTTAAATAGCCACATGTGGCCAGTGGCTATCTCATGGGACAGGGCAGGACACAGAGGTTTCATCATTCCCCCTTGCTTGGTCAGGATGTGCTCTCCAGGCTGATTGCTGCAGAATGCTGAGCTCATCTGTCACGTCTGGCCTGCGGCCTATGGTTCCACCACTGGGACTCCAGCCAGCATTGCATATCTCATCAGGTCTCTGTGGGTGGCTCTTTCTTGTCCCTTCCCTCCCCCACCTCCACCTGACAAAGGCTGGCCTTAGGATCCCTCTGAGCTAGATCAGACTCCAACTCAGCTAGGAACTGCCCTTGTACCCTGGGGCCCAGCACGCAGTCCCCTGAGAGGAGGTCACAAGCCTCCATTTGTGTGTGACTGGGTGATGCAGAGCAGGAACACTGAGAGGCTCCCCATTCCCTGCCTGCCTCCCATTTCATCCCAGGATGTTTCTCCTTCATGGGCTAGGCAATCAGTGCCCGGCTGTCAGCTCAGTATGTGTGATGTGCAATACTGTCCTCTTGGCTTTCCTCTGGAGCCGTTGTCCTGCTTGCATCGATCTGGGCTGTGAGAGAAAGCCAACTTAAGAGCAGCTTGGGGCTTAAAGCTGTCAAATCTAAGACAGCCATCCCTCCCAGATCCTCCCTGGCAGCCCTGAGTCCAAATATTTGTGTCCTATAAACCACCAGGCTGTCCCCAGATATTCCAATATTTCAGCATGTGCAGGACAATTTCTCACATTCAGATGCCACACAGGCTTTTCATGAGAAGTCAGGCATCCTGATTTCTAAGTCAGAAAGTATAGCCACAAAACATAGTCCATATTCAACTGTAGCTAGCTACAGGAGATTGGGCAACTTACTCAACTTCTCTATGCATCATTGGCCTTATCCGTAAAACGGGTCTAATGCTGTGGCTATTACAGCGAATCCATAGATATGTAAGTTGCATGGTTCCTGCCTGCAGGTAGACTACAGGTCAGAAAGCTACACCATGACAGCAACAAGCCACAGGGCTGCCAAAGCAAAGGCTGGATGCCAAGACATTCAGCCCTGACACTGGTGGTCATTTTCCTCTTAAATGACCATAACTGGGGCACCTGGGTGGCTCAGTTGGTTGAGAGACCGACTTCAGCTCAGGTCATGATCTCATGGTTTGTGAGTTCGAGCCCCACGTTGGGCTCTGTGCTGACAGCTCGGAGCCTGGAGCTTGCTTCTGATTCTGTCTCTCTCTCTCTCTCTCTCTCTCTCTCTCTGCCCCTCCCCCACTCACACTCTGTCTCTCTCTGTCTCAGAAATAAATAAACATTAAATGACCATAAGTGAGATCCTTCATATGACTACAGAGTTCTCTTTTTCTTCCTTTTTGTAAAGCATGAACTTGAAGATACAGTTAGACCAACCTGTAAAATGAAGTTATTTCTGTATCACACAGCCCAGCCTTCCAGCCATATTAAGCTCTGTTCCCGCCACAAAGAACCAAAGAAAATTCTACATATGCACATTAATTTTCCTTTGTTGCAGTTACAAAGCTGACCCACGCTTTCTACCCCTCCAGGCTTCAACATAAAGCTTTAAGATGGCTTTGCTGATGCCTGCTCTCCTTCCTGGTGTTCTCTACCAGTCACCAGCATCATCTTTTGGACATATGGGATCTGACTGTATTATGTCCCTGCCCAACACCTTTCTGGACTCCTCATCACTGTCAGGACACAATCCATGACTCTGGGCTCAGTCCCCAAAGCCCTCATGAAGCCACATCTCTGTCCCAGCCACGCCACCCACCTAAGAGACCCTGAACACAACTGCGTGTCCTCAGCCTGCTCCTTTGTGATGCTCCCCCTGTTCCTTCTGTGATCTCATGACAGCCTCTACACACATCCACGGTGGTAGTTAGTTACCATGTTGTCCTGTGGTCCCTTGCCTGGCCGTGCCCTCGCACTCTTGGCCACTTAGGAAGAACCAGCTCTCCCCACCAGTGGAAAGACTGGAAAGAGCTTAAACTAGTTCAGCTTACAGTGAACTTACATTTGCTCACTGGGTGCCTTTGGGTCAGTTACTTAACTTCTCTCAACTTGTCTCCTCAGTTGCCATTTGGGGATTACTTTATCTACTGAGGAGAACTGTTAAGGGGGTTAACTGAATGTTACGGACCCAGTAAAATTAGTGACTAACAGCTTAGAGAGACTGCTTCACTCACAGCATTGCAGCTACCTGGAGCCATGTACAGGATTGACGCTCAACCGTGAGTGGGGCCCCGCTTCAAATCCTGGTTCTGCCACTTACGTGGACCAGCCATTCCTTTGCTCTATGTCCCCCTTTCACTATCTATAAAATGAATGAGCACTTCCCAGGGTCCCTGTGTGCATGAGATGAAATAAGATGCAAAAAGGTGCATTGGGAACTGTGAAGTACAGTACGCAGGCAGCAGGCCATCCTGAGTCAGAACACTCTACCCCAGTACCCTGAGAGCCGAGCCTCAGACCAAGGGACTCGCCTCTGGAGGCCATGGCCCCCCTTCAGGGCCTTAGCTGGATCCTTTCTTCCTTTCTCCACCCCAAGAGTCCTCTTCACCCAACAGCCGTGCGATGATAGCTCCTTCCCAAGCCCTATCTGTCCTCAAACGGCAGGCCCAACTTCTGGCTACTCAGAAACCCAACTTCTGGCTAATCAGAGACAAAGCCTTTCCCACTGGGGAATGGGGGCCCCCACTGCCTTCCAGGGTGCTTTGTCATGGAGCCCTAGACCCACCAACCAGCCAGTTCCCATAGAACTGCAAGAGGGTCCCACCCCAACCAGGGCCCCTAACCTCTTCCAGGCCTAGAGAACAGACTACCAGAAATTCATTTATTTCAGAAAGTGCTGCCTTCCCCTCACACAGGCTTCAGAGGCAGCCATGCCGTGCTAAGAGTGTCTGGGCTCCGAGAATCCAAAGCTCTCAGCTGCTCAGTCCTGCGACCCTGGGAACCCCAGGCCCCCACCCACCACCAACTCCAGTTAGGGCCTCGTCACAGGCTCAGGGAGGGGCGGGTTGCTTCCTGGGTGTGGCACAGAACCAGGAATGGCAGCACCACACTGCATCTAGAAGGCAGCTAGAGGGGAAGAGCAAGCCTCTTGTCTACCCTTGACCCAGGCACCTGCAGGGCCACACTGAAGTTCAATCCTCTTAGCGTTGCCTATCCTCCATGGGTCAGAGTGGCCGGTCTGTGGGAAAGGCAGATGCCAGGCAGGGAAGGAAGGCTAACCAAGCAGTTGGCATACCACACAGTGCCCCAAATAGTGGGGCAGGGCCCCCAGGGAGCCTAGAAGAGTTTGCATTTGCCCCCTTGAGTACCCTTGTGTCTGAGGATGTGCAAGATTAACTAGCAAAAATTACCATGACAAGAGAAAAACCACAGAGTTTTATATTTTGCCACCATTATTTATTTATTTTATAGTTTTCCACCTTTCAAAGCACTTTACCCTCTGCCTTTGGAACAAGGAGCTCCATGTTTTCATTTTGCACGAGGACCCACAAATCACATAGCCAATCCTGCTAGGGTTAATGTATACAAAGTCCCTTTTCACTTCCAAACCTCTCTCTCCCCACTCCTCAGTTATATTAGAAACTGAGCCACTTCTGCTAAGCAGTAAAAACAGGAAAACTCTCAGGTGATGGCCCCAGAGGCCAAAGAGGGCACAGTCCCTGCCCATTGCTTGGGCAAAAACTGACTCTTTTCCTCTCCTGCTTTGCCGAGTGCTCCCAACTTCTCTTGCCAAGTGAATGGTGCTCATAATAAGTTCTGGCAGCAATGTCAGACCCTTTCATCTTCAAATAGGCCAAACACAAGCTTGGAATTAGGCAGCCTCCCTGTC